ATGGGGCACACGGGCCCGAGCCCTTTTTTGGTTTGCCATTTTGGGCGGGCGAATAACAAACCAAAATAAGTAAATAGTCAGACCTGATCAACTTCGGTAAGTGGAATCTCCGGGCACATGAAAACCAGTCACTCTCGGGGTGCAAGATCTGGCCCTGCTGGGCTCCACTACTCGCTGAGACTTCAACTGCCTGCAGGGTGATGGACACGAAAGGTACCAGCAGGATTGTCCACTCCTCGCAGGTCTTGGAACCCTAAACGAGTCCAATCTGCAAGCGCCGATTGCCCCTTGGTCTGTCGGTGCCGTCAAGCGCTGGGTCGCATCTCCGGACCTGTTTTGCGCTTGTGCGAGCTGTGTTACGCCCAACGAGTTGTTGACTTGTGTTGCGGGCACGGACTTCCAACAGTTGCTCTGCTTAGAGGCCGAGCAAGTTCTGGAGCATCTAAAAATGATTATTCACTACAAAGCAGGTTGGAGCACTCTCCAAGTCTCGATCCGCAACAAGACCTGGCACCTAAACGAAGTGCAAAGCAAGGGCACACGAGTTGTCGAAGGTCAACCCCACGCCAGTTCGCAGAGTTTGGCGGCCGTGAAACCGCAAGTCACGCGGCCATGCCAATGGTCCCGTCTCCGAGCCCGCTCTGACGTCGAGCCTACTGCGTGCCCGGCTGCAGCAGGCGTCGCGACCAAGGCGATTTGCGCGCATGCGGAAGAGCCGATTCCATGCAGTGGCCATGTTTTCGGCCCGCTTGAATTCCCCAGTGCGATTGTTTGTTTTTCTCAGGCACAACGTATATATATGTATATACATAAATACATTAACAAAGAAAGCAGACTCAAATAGTTCCATACGACGGGAGTTCTTGTTCAACTTCCTGTGGCTAAGCAATACTATATGGTTCTGCTCAAAGTACACCAAGCAATACTTATGCAGGTGGCCAAATCTGCGATTTTCTCACTTGAGCCATGTCCAAAACGTGTCGTGATTCCCTACGTCGCATCCCTCTCCTTACGCCGCTTCCTTACGCAGCCTTACGCGCACCGTGCTTTCGCTTACGCGGCACATGGGCGTCAAGTAGGCCTTACGCAGCCCTTACGCCAGAGAGACCGGATGCAATTCCATGGAAGGCGGCTTACGCGAGCACTTTTGCCTTTCACGCAGATGACGAGCCGTGGAGGAAGATGAAGAGGAGGAAGAACGGCTTCATTGCAGCGAACTTGCGAGTCAACGCATTCAGCTCCCAAGAGCGGGGCTTATCGTAGAAGCGTCGTCTCCAATTGCAAGTATCCTTCTCGTTTGGCGGGGTCCTGCTTTCTCGCGATGGCGCTGCCTTGTGGAGCAAGGCAGCGCCGTGCGGCAGAGCTGGTCAATGAGCTCGGCTGGACAATGGCAGGTCTAGGAAGGGCTTTTCAAAGCCGGCAAGCCTACTACTCAGAAACGCAGCTGGGGCTTACGCGGGGGCTTACGCGAAGCTTACGCAAGCCTTACGCGGCAAACGCCCAAACATTCCCTAGTTTTGCGTTGTGTAGTAGCAGAGGACAATATTGCTTTGTAGGGCCCAATGAGTAGATATGACAAGCACATGACTAATGAGAAACACATGGATATGACAAACAACATGACTGAAGAAACACAATGGATATTCCAAACAACATGACTGAACAATAGCTTGCGCGGAATGCTTGCGCGACATGTTTTTTTCGACAGTTGCTTACGCCGCCTTACGCCCGTGCAGGTTTTGCTTACGCCACGGGTCGATATGACATAGTCCCTGATAAACATGTAGACGGAGGTTTTGGACGTTGCACACTTGAGCAGTGTTCTGCGGCGAGAAGAAACAGAAAGTCCCTTTTGCCAAGGCTTCAGAGCTGTCGCGACACGCGAGGTTCCTTTCGCGAGAGATGAAGCAACTGCTTTCGTTGTCGCTTTCGCAGTTTGAAAAATGTGATTGACATTTGTGTTCCATTTCGCGGACACAGGAACAATACGACCGGTTCGCCACCTACCATTACTCAACAACTGGCCGCCCTGCTCCCCTCCCAACCAACACGGAGGTGCACAGCAAAGCTCTCTTTCGCTAACGAAGGTAGTCATTGAAAAACACTTCAATGTGAAAGCAAATGCTGTACCAACGACTGCCCTTGAACAATTGAATACAAAAGGCCGGGCCATCCTTGCACATCTTTCAGGCTTGGCAGCTGCAGTTGAAGTACATATTACTTTGCATGCTGTTCCGAATAACATTCCAACCTGTGACCCAAACTGGGCCTGACTAACATACAACGAAACTCAATGTGCCACACAAGCAACATGCTGTGGACAAAGCACGCGTGGCGTGGCTTTCAGCACACATTACATCCCTCCACATGTTGTGCAAACAGTAGTGGGTTTGCGGAGGTCTCGTTTATCGGGCAGTCCCAATTCAATCGCAGTCAAAGTCGGAAACTACAGAGACACCGCTTGGACTCAACTTGAACTTGCATTCCCTTGCTTTGAGTG